GCCTGTAATCCCAGCATTTTAGGAGGCCAAGGCAGGCAGATCACTTGAGGTCAGGAGCTTGAAACCAACCTAGCTAACAAGGCGAAACCCCATATCTACTAAACACATACAAAAATTAGCCAGGTGTGGCGGCGCATGCCTGTAATCCCAGCTACTTGGGAGGCTGAGGTGGGAGAATAGCTTGAACCAGCGAAGGGGAGGTTGCAGTGAGCCAAGATTGCACCACTGCACTCCAGCCTGGGTCACAGAATAAGACTGCCTCAAAAACACAAAAAGATTACACAGGTCTGTTTGTTCTGCAATTCTTTGCCATGGGGGGCACACCCAGCAAATGACTGCCCAAACACCTAAGCTGGGGTTCTATAAATAGAGCTAAATTTAATATCAAAATTAATATGAAAACTAGCAACTAGAAAAAGACTGTGAATCAACATTCACCAGCAACAGCAATAGCAACAATATCATACCCTGTATCAGGCTTAATAACATGATTATTTCCTTTAAAGAGTACCCTTAACAGTATGCATGTTATGTGGGTAGGGAAGTGCGGAACAGTCTACTTATCAGAGAAAGGACTGAAATACTAAGATACAAGTTTTCCTTTAACTAGTTAGAACCTTACCTTTAGATTAGGAGTGAATGGGTCGGGGAGCCTCATGTTGCGTGGAAAGGCACTCAGGATCAAATTTCTTAACTGGATACAATTAGGTGGGATCACATCACAGAACCCATAATGGTAATCACAAAGGAACTCTGGGAAATCATGCAAAAGAACCAGCAGCACTCTTAAAGTGCCCTATTTTTAAAAAAACAAGAAAAATATTTCCACACTAAGGAAAATGGAGTAACATTTTCCTATTATAACGTTAAGCTCCACCCCCCACAAAAAGAATAAAGTATACTTTAGCAACATTTCTTAAAAAGTTTTAGGCTTTAATTAACATTATCACAGACGATTTATCAAATATTTCCTTTTACATATGACGAAAAACTAGGCATCAGGAGTTTACAGGCTGAAATGAATATGCTAGAAGAGGAGGCTGGACAAAAAACAAAGATACAATGATGTAATAAGCATCTTCAGAAGCTTCAAAAAAAAAAAAAAAAAAAAGAACTAACGAAAATCAAAGCAGAGTAAAAGCGTATAATAAATTTTTTAAAGTACCAAAAGGGAGAAAATCAAAGC